CCTAGAGTTTGTTTTGTGAAGCACGTTAATTCTCTCCTGGGGAACGTCTTCGTGAGCCTCTTATGGTTTCAGGATAGCTCAAATCCTATGATGCTCCGATTCAATGCTCACCGATGATCTGAGCCATGGGGCAAGTTTGTTTTCCTAAGAATCTTTTTGAACATTTCGAGAGCATATGTTTGAACATTTAGAGTGCATATGAAATTATATTTACGAAAGGTCGCCTCCGGTGGGATAAATACCTAGCGTTTGTTTTGTGAAGCAAGTGTGGGTGCTTCCGGGTCGGAGTGATTTCTCCCTAGAGCTTTGGAAGTCATTTGTTCCATCTAGCCTCCCCTGCATTGTCGTTTGGGGATGCAAGCTGGCATCGCTGCCTCAGAGTTTTTGTTCCTGCCTCTCGCGTTCTCTTCTCTTCCCGCTGTCCTACCTTTCGTGTCTCCCTCCTCTCAATTGAAAATTAAGAAGATGAAAGGGCAGCAATCAAAAACAAGAGAGACACGTGTTTTTTTGCATTTGTCATTTTTGTGTTCAAGATTACAGTAGCTTCCTTGCAACGGGACATGTCTTTCGATTTGGCCAGCGCCCTTCCCAAACCGCACAGCCTTTGAGGGTGCATGATTCTGGGATATTGGGCAGAATCTTCGAGAAAAACCAGTCTTCCTTAGCCAGAGGTTTCAGGCAATCAAGCCCCTACCTACCGACGTGAATCCACTGGGCACCCAGTCTCCGCTTGGGGAGGTCGGTGAAAGGCGACGACTGAACTGGGCCGACCGACCAGACCGTGGGATGTGGGAGGTGGATGTTGAGTCGGTTTGCGACTGCAGATGAACAGCGGTCGGTGTTGCGGTATGCGGTCGGTCTTGCGTAGAGTCAAAGGAACTAAGAAGGTATTCGAGTGCATGAGGGTATTGAACAGTTGCATCTCCCAGGTTGACCTCGCATCCGAGACTGGAATGACCTCGCTTAGTTTGTCATCAGAGCGGAAAACATGTTTCAGCATTTCCAGGAGGGAATGTGGACTGCAAGTTCCTTTGTTTATCTATAGTCACCTTACATGAGTGGATGTTCCAAAAAGAGTAGAAACTATCCTCCAAGTTCGACACCCAACTAAATGGAACTGCTGGATTCGTCCTGTTTAAACATAATTCTTTGGGGTTCCAGGCCTGCGATCCCGACGAATGCAGCCAATGAGCCCAGGTTCGCAAGCCACATGGTCTTGGAGATGTACGTCTCTAACACCGTGCAAGGCACAGAATAGGGGTCCAGGGATGTAGGCTTAGTAGGGATGTGTGATGTGCCGTGCCTGAAGAAGATTGCTGGGTGAAGCGAGTTTGGGGATACTGATACTTATATTGTGATTTTGTGAATGCATAGTATTTGTTGCCTTCGAACCTTCTGATCATTGATCACGTATTCTTTTTCATGTTGAATCCATTATAACATACCTGTTGATCCAGTCACTGGGCTGGTTGGCTGAAGACCGTAAGCAGTCCAAGATGGGTTCTAAGGCTGCTAAGGATATCTTGGGATGATCTTCGCGGGTCGCGCCGGTCACGCCAGGCATCACTCTGGAGGAGGTGCAGGCGGGCCTTGCGACGGAATTCACCCAGCTGATGTATTTGTGAACATAGAACGAACTAAGGAGAAGGAGGGGCCTCTTCGGCGAAGCAATTAATCACATCCCAACGAACGCCCCTTCTGGCACCCAAAGCTCAAGGTCGTATGACCAACTCCAGGGCCAACGCTTTGGAGCTCGGTTCTGAGAGACTATCTCCTGTAGACCGAGCGGTGGCGTCCGTTTTCAGTGGCGGCCGTGGGCCCGCGCGAAGAAGAGTCACAGCTGGGACCCAAACAGTGTGTGTGTGTGTGTTTAAATCAGACGCAGATAATACATCGATCATATAGATGATGTTCGCTTGTTATCATTGTTACTGGAGATACAAAAAAAAGGACACCCGGAAAGATGGTAGATCGAATCCTATAGTCGCACCAATACCTACCAGCACCTTCATAGTAATGGAGTCTCCAATGGAATACACATCCCTACACTACACTACTTGTGGATCCCGATTGGACACCCATGCACACCCAATTGAAGGTCGTCCGGGTATGACTCCAAATGCTCCTTTTTGGCTTCTGGACACCTGGCCCTTTTTCCGTTCCATCTGCAAAAACCGTGCGGGCGGCAGACCATCACGCAGGTTCCGCCGTTTTTTGGCACGACCCCCTCCCCGCGGGCGCGCACGGCTTGGTCGGTCGACGGTAGGTGAACCTCACGGGTTTGGAGCCCAACTGGACCGAGCTGGGCGCCTCCGCTGTGACGCGCCTCGAGTACGGTGCGACGAGCCCAGCGGACCGGAGGACGGTGGAGGACGGTGAGTACGGAGTGAGTACGGTGAGTGGCCTGAATACCCAGACACGACTAGTGGGACTGCCAGTCCGGACTGCCTTCAAAACGGCCAGGGGTGGCTGCCAGGGGGTCTGGCTGGGGCGGCAGTCCGGACTGGCAGTCCCAGACAGGTCGTGTCTGGGATGTGGATGGCACATGAGATGAGCCATGGTGAGGTGAGCCAGATATGTGACCATGGCGGGGGTCACCTTCGAAAACTGTTTGCCCTCTTCAGTGCGTTCGGGTGAACACAAGTGTTCCAGCAATCCTTGCGACACGGGAAGCCTTTTCTCTCTTTTTGGAAGTGGGCCATGACGTTTCCAATTACCGGGCATGGGCCATGAGCCCCAAATTACAGTAAGGTGTGGCAGTGTGGCACAGTGTTCACCAGCTATTCCAAGCTACACATATAATATAGAGAGACTCCTTCTTATGGCTGGTATGACCGGTCATCAACCCTCTGGAACATCTCCTTATAACGATTTCTTTTTGTAGAAAAGTGGCAGAGTCCGAGAATGATCCGGGTATATCTGGGTCAAGTCATGTCACTTGCTTTGGGGCATCCAAGAAAAGAAAAAAATATCATTCACTATTCATTCTTCACTCGGTGAAGAGACGGGTCGGTTTGACGTTGTTCTTCCTTTTTCGCGTTTCAGGTTGGTTCATGGTGACGAATGACTCGGCTCGACGGGTCGGCTTCAGGACCCTCCGGCTCAACGGGTGATGGCCCACCGCTTTCATCCGCTTTGCGCAGGCCAAAACGGCTCAGCTCACGTGTTGCTGCGGAAGAACGCGGGGCAGGCGCGGCCGCAAGGGCAGGCGAGGGGGAGCCGAAGGAGAGGAGAATGAGCAGCAGATGCTTGATTTGGTCTCCCAATTCATGAGCAAAGGAGCAAGAGAAAATACGGTCTAAGAGTTGCTTAAAAGATTTGGGGAAAATCAGAACCTACAGTACCAAGAGTTCCCTTTCAGATCTTTTAGGGTAGTGCTTAGACATGCTTAGACATGCTTAGCACCCTCCCATCGGACTCCTGGTACTTCATGGTACTTCTATGTGATCCATCCCAGTCGTTGGGGCCTCGGTCTCCCAAACGGTCAGGACACCGGCGGTGTGGTGCCGGGCAGCTTTGCCGCGGCGCTGCGCTTCATCGTGAAGGCGGCACCGCGCGCGTCACGGGACGCCACGTGACGCCACGTGGTGGTCGAGTCTTTTGGGGTGTGATGATTGTGATGCCTTGCAAGAGACCCACATTGGAACTTTCTTTCTTTCTTTCTTTCAAATGGACGCTTCGATTGGACGGACCGGCAGGCCACATTGGAATCTGAAAACCACTGGGTTGTAGAGGATTGTTTCTTTAATTCTTTTGGGGTGTGGTGTACGTATGATCTTGGCAAATGGTGATTTGACGAACTGTTGTGCAGCCAGAGTGCAGCCAGAAGGTCTCTGGAATGTTCAATTGTGGTACGTACCTTGTGCAGTCGAGTTTTCAGGCTCCGGTGTCGAGCAGAGCTGTGCAGAGCTGCTGGAGGGTTTGTTGGTACTGTCTGTGGAGTCTAAGAAATTTGCTTAATCCCATTTGGTTGGTCACTCATCTATGCACGGGAATGTTCAATGTTCATGGGTTTCTGACCTGTTTCTGGCCCTTGAAGCTATAAATAAATGTTCAGCAACACCTTGAAGTATCAACAGATGTTTTTTGGGACCCTTTCCTTATGGCCATAAGAAGGCACTTTCTCATGGCCCTCGAAGCTGAAGCAACACCTTCAAGTGCCTCAAGGGCTGATGGACCCTTTCCTTGCCAGATGTCTTTCCGGCTAAGCCTGCAACTGGCCAGGAGGAAGGCGATGACCTGGGCTATGAGGAGCCCACGTCGTGGTTCTCCGGGACCACCGGCGGGCACCAGTGGCACGGAGACCCCGCCAGCGAAGGTGAGGGACTCTCCACGTTTTCCGGCTCCTTGAGGTGGTCCATCTCCGGGGATTTGGACCCTGCCGACGGTGCTTTTGGTGTCCTTTTTCTTTTTCCCCCACCCTGGAAAGGTGAGGGTTGTTCTTCCAAATGTCCTGAAAGGAGGGTACAGACCACTCGAAGTAGTAATTTATAGCGAGTTTGTATTGCTTTGTTGTTCTTTCAGATGTTTTTGGAGCCCTTCCGATTCCTACGATTTGGATCCATCAAGAGTGAGAGTTCTCAGAGCCTTCAATGAAGACGAAAGTTGACCTGGTTTTGTATATAGGACCATTAAGATCAAATAAGATAGAATATGACCACTCTAAGACCAGGTCAAGATCATACAAGTTGACTTTGTATAAGACCCCCAAATAAGATAGAAACGAACAAACAACAAATCCTTAGTGTAGACATTTAGTCTACGGCCTAGGGCTATCATGTCATCTACTGTGACGAGTTCCATGGCCCCTTAACCTTTGGTAGATGCCGATCAAATGAAGACAAATCAGAATCTGCATCATGTCCTGAAAAGGACGTTCCCCCCAAAACAGAAAGAACCCAAAGAAGGACGAAGACATGGCAAGAGCCTCCCCACAGGCGGCACCACCGACCAAGCTTTTCCCGACAAAAGACCAGTGGCTTTCGGTGGTCGCCCAGCCTATGGCACCGGGCACGCAGGATGACTATCCAGCAGGGAGCTTCCAGAAGACGACGAGGGTGGCAAAAGGGCGACGGAAAGATATACCAAAGTATGGCCAAGTGGTGTATTTGGCCATGTAAATGCTATACCCTACAGGTCAAAGATCTAATTTATACTGGATTTGATACAAAAAGACTACTCCATGAGGCATTACCCGGTGTACTGGGCCAGACCGGACCTGGGATATGATTTGGGTCGCACTACCACTATCAGTCGGTAAACGATTATCACCATCCTCATCCACTGTTACTGGTACAGTAGTGGGATCTCCCCAAGCTAGTCCAGATTCCAGACACTTCATGGCACTGGAAAATATGCAGCCCCATGGACATATCCATGTTTACCCCCAAACTACCTTTAGCTTTGGTATGCTTTGGCCTTTTCGTGTCACAGACACTCCATGCATCTGTGTGTGTGGGGGGTTCTTTAGAGCTCATGAGACAGAGGAGGCGGTTCTCCTCGGGGTCCACAGGAAGAACACTTGGGTTTTTGAGTCTGAGTGGCGGATATTATTTGAGAAGATGAGGATGTGAAGCCTTGAAAGTGATCAAACGTCCCCAGATATGAAGAGTTTGTCTATCTCCAATTGAGGAGGTTGATTTGTCAAGAGCCGACCCGCGGCTTTTGTGCTTCTAAACCCCACCCGTCTCCCGAACCTGTCTCCGACAACATCGGAGACAGAGAAAGAGTAAGAGCACGGATCTGATGAAGCAGAGGCGGAGCGTCAAAAACACGGGTGACGCGATCAACTGGGGTCATCCTGAGACTGGGTGTCCAATAGACTACCCTACACTGCTAGACTGGACCTCCTTTCGACACCCAGACAGGATGATCCTGGAATGATCGATGTCAGTATCGATGTTTTTTTGTTCTGCAAAGATCCAGAGTGAGGAACCCTTGAAACAGGGATGGATGAGGCCATGCATGATTCATGTTCATGCACAACTGCACAAATGACAATCCTCAAACAGAGCTTGCTCTTTGCCTCATTCCTGTATCTTCTGGTTATAAGGACAGCAGGATCCACTGTTGCAAGGGGATAGACATGGCCATGGACCAGCCGGGGGAACTGGGCACTGTCCTTGAAGCAAGTCTCGTCCACGGACAGATGGGGATCGTTGGACGACGATTTCCGGCAAGAAGACGGAGAAATGAGAACTCCCTGACTTTGTGACTTTGTAGGGAAAACTATGACAACTCCTCCAGGCCAATCATGAAATATTATGAAATCCCAAGCTGTTCAGGAAGGGCATCGAAAAGAGGCGCGGCCCCGCATCAATACACCTTGAACTTCCAAAACCCAGTGGGAGACACCTGCCAGACGCACGTATCCTCGACAGTCTGCGGCTTTCTAAGGTGGAGAATGTAGTGATCAGCACCGGTGACTACATCTTCGCGAGGTCGGCGCGTGAAAGCGGGTTCCATAGATTTCTTCTTCAATGAGGTGCAGTCGCTTGGACAAAGAATATGTGAACCAAGCTGGTCATGATTTTTTCCGACTATGAGGGAGGTTCCCTCATCTCTCATTTCATGTCCAAGACATATTCCAAAAACATGTGGGCAGATGTGGGGATATACAACACGATCACGGATTCGATCTAGGGCATCAACTTTGTATAGATGTACACGCGATCCGTGCTGTTGGGGGAAAGACGAAAGCAAGACGATCTGCTGCTCGTTGGAACAGATCCCTTTTGACCTATCAACCCTCATGTGTTTTTCTCAGGAGGTCAGTGATCACTTTGAAGGTTGGTAGAGGTCTTTGGTTCCATCCTGCACTTGTCTCACTATCACCTGCCCGGCGTGGCCACGCAGAAATCATGGATGGTAAGTCTGGCTAAGCTTAATTCTATCCCATTCCATACAGACCATGTATGGAATAGATTTTTTTTGTACATACATTGCGGTGGCTTCAGGGTTGAATGTATGTCACTAGTCCCATGCCAGTCGTGTTGCGCGTATCGCCTGGCGATGGCGATCCCTCGTAGGTCCTTGCAGCAGGGCCAGTTCCGGTCGGTCTGGGAACAATTGGCCGCCCAAGGCGCCAATTCCGCTCCGCTCGACCGCCGGCGGGTAGGTTCCAAGCGCTGGGATGGTGTGTGTGTGTGTGTGGAGCAGTCGGAGGGACTGGAACTGCGGAGCGTGGTGAAATTCGTTCAGGGCGCCTTTGAGATGTGGAAAAATCAGCAGCCGTTCGGTTCCGTAGTTTCTTCCATGTGCTCGAGGATCATCGGTGAAAGCTCTCAGCCGTTCAGGTGAAGGGCACGGGCCCCCTCACGGTTTCCGTCCGAGAACTGAAGTTCCGAGAAGCACCACTCAGACAGGTGCCGAGCAAATTGCCCACAACAGAGCTGGGGCCTGTAGATGGGAATCCTATTCAAAATTACCCTCCTGCAGAGGACCACATTGACGCCCCAAACCGCTAGGTTGTACAGGAAAATGGTTGAGTTTTCAGGGTCCCATGTTCGTTTGCGGCAGTGTAGGTGAGCAGCGCCGTAAACCTCCCTTTACATTTTTGTTAAGAGCTTGGTCATAAGGAGGGTTGGCGTAAGCAAAAGTCTGCTGCGCGTAAGGTTGCGTAAGGTTTTTTCAACATAACCAGTGGCGTAAGGGCCAATCAATGAAAACAAGTTGTTTTTATGAACCAAGGAATGATCAGACATGGCGTAAGGTCCGCGTAAGCACTGCGTAAAGACAACTTCGATTTCTAATCAATTGCCCACGCATGGCGCAGACTTTGAGCAGGCAAGCAAGAAAGCGCAAGCGCCAGAGTGAGGCCATGAAGTCTGACCAGGTGTTCGATGCAGAATCCACATCGTCCTCATCAAGCATATCATCTAGTCACTCTGCAAGTAGTGCTGCGTGAAAATGGTCGCCTGCCTTGTGTGCGTGTGTATCTATCCTGCTATGAACTCATCTTCGCGTAAGCTTTTCTCTTGGAGGGGTGTGGAAATTTGAGTGCAGTGCTCTTGCGTAAGCCTGGCGTAAGCCCTTTCTACCACAAACCAGCCGCGTAAGGTAAAACTGTGCGCGCGCAAGGAAAGCGTAAGTCTCAGCGTAAGACTTCCCATACGACCTTTCAATCTATCAAGGTTTCCAGCACAGCTCAGGTGTTGTCGGGGGAGCTCTTTCAAAAGTTTGAACTCCCAGTCGGCTGAGCCCGGCTGCAGTTCTTCTTGCGGGGCTGCCTGCTGTAGCCTCATTCAATACTGGATTGAATCCTTCATCACGTAATTTGTAGGACTTCCAATGATTGATGAGGATTCTTGCATACCCACGCACTCCGTGTACCCTTGAAGTCCAAAGACTATACCTTTCCAGTGAAGTAGAGAAAATTCCCTTTCAGGTCCCTTGAAGACCATTCTTTTTATGGTCTTAGACCTTCGAAGGTGTACGCAATATCAAACCCATGCCAGTCCCAGGGGACCGGGTTATCCTCGCTCGGAAGGCACGGAGGTGACGCAGAAGCTGAGTTTGAACTTTAAGACGTCGGACGCCCCGGAGCGCGGTGTCGGTTGGAGCGAGCGACGTTGGTTGGAGCGCGGCGTCGGGGCGAGGATGACGTGGTACGACCACGTGTGCCACTGGGAAGCGGAAGCGGAAGTTCCTTTTCGAGGGGATCGCGGGTTGTGTGTGGGATCGCGCCCTTTCTGTCTTCGGCAAACAGGATAATGAACTATATGGGAGCCGATCGTAAATGCAAATCTAAGAAATATGAAAGGGCATGTGTATCTCAGCATCTGCGATTGTAAAACCCTGCATCGCGGTTGATCGGCGATTGGTTCGCGATCGAGACACAGATTTGTTGTATCAGAATCGACCATTGTAAGAGGAGAAATCTTAATATTATATGGCATATTAATCATGTTACAGTTCAGCCTTACACTGTATTCGGGTCTTCCTAGACACTGTGTTCAATAGTGATAGCCAATAGCAAAGAAGAATCAGAACAACAAAGTTCAAAGTCTACCAGCCCAGATCAATTCAATTCTCAAAAACATGTCGACGAAATCCGCGATTGGTTCGCGATTGATCCGCGATTGTGCCGCGATTGTTAAACCCGCCTGAGTATAGGCCCTGGCTCACGCCATGTCTCTAAATTCTAAATACTGTGATATGTAGCAAATGTTTCGACGATTCTTTGCGCAAAATTGTGTTGCATACGAGAGCACTCTCCCGCGATTGACACCGTTGGGATCGCGATTGATTCGCGGTTGATCGGCGATTGTAGCTGCCTCAGATACCTTTATATTGATCAACACCCATATGAGAAAGAGATTGTTTGCTGATTTTGCTGAGATGTTCTCAAATATGTGGTCTCTTTTGGTCCTGTGATGATGAGATGATCACGAGTCACGTGAAGCAACTCATGATTGAAAAGCCCGCCGCATCCACTACCAGGGGCATCCCCAATTTGGAGTGTCTCAGACACCCCTCTATTCAAGGGCTGGTCTAGGAACCAGGGTGTAGTTTGACTATGCTAGGGACCCACACCGCAAGGACCATTCTGCAGGGACCATGGTCAACCACCCCTCCCACCGTGCCGAAAGCGCTTCGGAGCCAAACACCGCCGCTTCGGGCACCCGCCGCCGGACCCGCCGGACCTGGCGAGGCTCGAATCGGGCGTCGAGTGGATCATTGCGACCCTGAATATGTCCCTTGGATGAAAGGTGTCCCCTGGCTCCGGCGAAAAGAAGCTGCCCAAAAATCTCGGCCCGATGTGAAGCCCAGTTGTGGTTCCCAAACAAGCAAAGCGGGGGTGTTTTGGGACGGCTGGAGGTGGGAGGTGGTCTGGGTCCTGGGAGAGACAACGCGGAGAGTCCGACGTTGACCGCACTCGTTGAGTGGTGAAGCTCCCAGGGGTCGACAGTGAAGTTCCCAGGTTTTGCCAGCAGACCCCAGGAGAGGAAGCAGATGTCCTGGAGCCTTTTGGAGCGTGTCTTGCGAAAAAGCAAGGACGTATCTGGAGTTCCAAAGGGATGGGGTTACATCTATTTATCACTATTTATCTATCCTCCATTTATATCACACCTCGACATGGAATTGCTGGTTCTCAGTTTGGTGGATGGACTTAGGAGTAGAGGCCCAAAATCCAACAAGCGCCCAGAAGATTTTGGTTTTAATCCTGGCCAATGCTTCAAGTTCTTCCCCAAAGAACGAGTCCCTAAGTCACTGACCAAGCTACGCAAGAGGTGTGAAATGTTTTAAAGTTTCGCAACGGATGAAAAGGGAGATGGCAAGGTCTCCAAATTCACCAATACCTGGATCTTGCAACTATATGACTATATGCAAAAGTTCATATAATTTCTGCCTTTGGGCTTGTTTTTATGGGTGTGAAGAGGCGGCATAAATCTTGCATATAGTTATATAGTTGGAAGATCCAGATAATTTTTCAGCATTCACACACAAAAACAAAGAACACCAACACCCGGCCGGGGTTGGAGCGTTTCTTCAGTACCAGTACTAGATATATATATATATCCCACTGTTGGAATAGTTTTCTGTCACTATAAGAATCACTGGTACGTGGATCCTTCATCGCACATGAAAAACAATGCCACTAAGGAGTTGCCAGAAGGCAGTTGGACATATGCAAAGATGTGCTGCTAACAATTTGCCAACCGAGAGAAGAATGTAAAGAACTGCTGTGGAGGAGTTGCCACCAGGTGGACATACTAGCGAAGAGTGTCAGATACATGGACACGTTTGTTGCCCAGGAGTTTGCCACAAGGTGGACACAGTTGATACCCTAGCGAACACTGGGAGACATGTAAAGAGACGCCAGAAGGTTTCAAAGAGGCAGACCATGGCGGGCTTGCGGACACACTCGGCCGTGAGAATCGCCAGAAGTCATAAGGCAAAAACACGAGTTGCTTGAAGGTGGACACTGGCCACTTGGAGACCAAATGTAAAGTAATTGCTACCAAGCAGTTGCCAGGTGGACACACTATAGCCCAGACTGGGAGACAAATGTAAAGAACTGCACTAGGAAGTTGCCAGAAGAGGCGTACACACCAGCAGGACTGTCTCATTCTGGCATCTCCAGAGAGCAGTTGACTACTACTTTGATGGCTACGACGCGTGAGAAGACGGCCACGATTGGGAGACACATATTATGTAAATAGAGTTGTTACTAAGGAGTTGACAGAAGGTGGACACACCACCCCAGCCTGCCAGACAAACCTATAGAATTGCTATTCAGGATTTGCCTGAAGGCCAACACACCAGCCCAGACAGGGAGACAAATGTATGGATCAGGCCCAGACTGAGGCGGACACACTCTTAGAAAGCATTGAGAACCCCAACAGTAAACCTGTTGGGGGAAAAACACCTTGATTCAAGAACTCTCTCCATGCTCCTGCTCCTCTTCCGCTCTTCGAAAGCATCCTCCAACTCTTCGATCATTTTCGATCCGACTCAGCCTCCCCGCCTCCGCCTGCCCGCCTTCGCCTCAGCCTCCCAGGCATCCCTGTGACAACACCGGTAAGGTGGAGCCCGGTGGTCGCGGCCACACGGCGCTCCTCAGCCCGGAGCGCCCGGTTCGTTTGACGGCGAAACGAACACGGTGACCAAGCGGGTTGGAACCGGAGAAGTGGCAGGTGACGAAAAGGTGGTTGGGCATGGACTGGATCTCATGACATTTCAATATGATTTGATATGATTTGATGATACTTGATGTGATCTTTGGCTCGGATTTCAAGCACCACGTGTGTGTTCATGGTGTTCTTTTTCAGCTATTGAACATTTGCGCTGGTTTTGGCCCTGGTCTTGAAGCAGCTCTCCACCCCAAAAGGTCCGGAATGGTGCAGACATTGTGTGACTAGACTCATGGGTGTTGGATATTGTTGGATGGTTTTTGAGGGTTGATGAACATCCCTAAACCTGGCAGGTCCCGGGCCCCTCCAACATGGACATGGTTATGTGGATGGCATGAGAAAGCAGGACGCCTGATTTCTGATCAAACAAATCCGAGTATACCATCCCAATGCCAAACAAATATCCATATACAACTGTTTCAGGGAGTCTTTATAAATACAGACACCTAGGTGCCTGGGTTGTTCATCAGAGGCCGCGTTTTGCGCAAGTGACCTCAAGTGATTTGGCGGAGGTTTTCAACCATGAACCAGTGAATCCTAGTTGGTTGCAAGGAAGCCACGTTGGTTGCAAGTTTGTCTCGATCGCCCGGACTTCCACGGCTTCAGTCGCTAAGACAACAGCATCCTTAAAGTTTTATCTCAGAGGCCTTTGTAGTCTCCGTTCTTTTCCGTGGCAAAACGTCACTGGGTTCCGTCGCCGACCCGTCCGCCGAGGTGGCACCTTTTTGGGTGGCCAGACCTGCCTGGTGAAGGTGCCAACGGGGAGCGCACGCATATAGAGGGCCTCGCGTTTTGAGGCAGAGATGCCAGACCTGCTATGGTTTTGCAGACGAAGACCTCGGACCGCCCTCGAAGCCGGCGAGCCTCCAGAAGCGACTGGTGTGGTCCACCGACTTGTGTCCGACACCGGACGCCGGACACCAATGGGTCGTCGAGTCTACCCTGTTTCAGAACGAGATTTTGGGGCTCTCCCGGAGATCAAATCGATTGCCCATGGATACGATGTGTGTGTGTTTCTTTGTTTAATGTAGGCTGTAGACATTTGTAGACTCTGGATGAACAAAAGTACAAAAGCCACCCATTTGGATTGAAAGACATCTTTACAATATATGCATGGGTCTACATTACGCCGCGCTGGGTGCAGAGTGAGACCAATTTGGTCTCACCCCAAGTTCCATGTCATGTTTTGCAACTCAAAGGGGTGCTGACTGGATGGATGGGTCTAACTCAGAAGGCCTGAGCTCCTGAGCTCCTTGGATTTCAGGTGGATGGAATTCTTTCCAGCCTTCGAATGAATCGCATCTCGAACAAGAAAGAACGGTGTGCAATTGGTTGTCCAGAAGTGATGTGAAACTGCTCAACTTGCACATGTAGCTTGTATACTTGCAAATCATATTGATCCAAACGGCTCAGCGATCTCCAGTTCATTGGAGAATTGATCGGTCGGTCCACCGTTCTACTGGCTGCATCCGCATGTAGTCCGTCCGGTCGAAGATCGCAAGCAAATCAACCATTTATTGTAATGGCAACACCGGATTCATACACGGTCCCCCATTCAAGGTCAACAAGATCAACTAGGTTTGAGCTTGGAGGTGTATGGAGACCGGATCCCCTCAATAAAGGTGATGACCTGATGATGGTTGATGGGATTCTGTGTGAATCATGAGAGTTTGAACCATGAGAACCATGAGAGCTCTGAGTAATTCTATTGGCACAAGCTTGATAAGAGATCTGATAGGATAGATCTGAGATACTAGCCAAGAAGAAAGTGACAAAAACATAAATATATAGATTATAAAAGTAAACTATACTGTATGTGTCTTTTTTCTGGGGCAGCTGGGCTTGATTGATAGGGGGAGGTTTCTGAGAGGGAAACAAATCATTACAGTAGGGTGATATACATGTGGAATTGAGGTTTTGAATTAGTTTAGTATTGGGGGCTCGAGCTGGGCTTGATCAATAGGGGGTGGTTACTTAATCCTGTGTCAACCTTCTTAATGATTCTGCGCACATGCAGATGCAGGCAGAATGCCCAGCTCTTCAAAATAATTTATTCTTCATACATCCATCAGACGGACAGTCCACCCATTTCAAGGGAGAAAGGACCATGTCCAACTATATATGTCCAACTTCTCTCTCAGAATTGTGAAGTTCTCCCAGAATTTCTTGGCCGTTTTCGACCTTCTCTCTCAGAATGTTGAACTTCTCCCCTCTCAGATGGCCGCTTTTGGGACACACTCACACACACACACCGAAGCTGCCAGGCACTGGTCGGCATGGATGCCGAGCGCGGCTGTGTGGCGCGGATCTCCGCGCGCGCCAAGAGCGGCGACGTTTGCCAGGCGAAGAGATCTCCTCGTGGCGACGTTTGGGCACCGGAGATTTGTTTGGGGGGCGAGTGAGGGAGGATATAAATATTGGCGGGAATATTTAAAAGCCACTTTTGAATGACGCCTCTTGTTTAAGGATGGAGAATGGGTACGTTTGGAACAAGTATTGGACATGGACATGTCATGGCAGTGTTTGGATGTCAGGGGTTGCGCAAGATTTATAAATATGGAATCGAATCTTGCAAGTGGCTTGGAGGATCTTGGAGGTAAGGATGTCTACGCGCACAAGAATTACTCTAAATATATACCTAACATTAAATGGAATAGACACTGACATCCCACTCACAAAGACTCAACGCCTTTTTGAAGGAGTCTCTAGGTCATAGGCCATGTTTTTATTTTTCAACTTCCCTTCATTCGCCAGGCGGTTGTCAACGCCCTCATGTGAGTGGGCCTTGAGCCCACTTGGCGCGTGCGTTCAGCTCTCGGCGCGTTTTGCACCGAGAACTACGCCAGATGGGCATAGGAAGCGGATGAAATCGGGGTCAAGAGGATGCTGAAACCTGTGAATTGGTTATGACAACGTTTAGATGCCTTTATTCTGAAAGTACAATGTGCTACTACTCTCGACTTTACGTAGGGGGCTTGAGGATTAGAGCATTGGTCGAGTCTGGTACGAAGCCTGTGGTGTACACCTGCGGTGAGTACATTTGGAGCCTGTGGGTTAGACCATAGGGGGTTCATCAGGTTAAGGTACTGACTTGAAGTCGGGCCCAGGTCGTCGAACCACCTCCCCACTTCAGTATCTCCTCACACCCTGCATCGCGCGACGCTCATCCAACTCATCAACTCCCTTCCAAATGTATACTCATCAACTCGTTCGCAGGAAAACAAAAAAAACACATACGGACTAAAGGTAAGGATCCAAAATGATCCAAATGCTGAAAAGGGCTTGTTCAGAATTGTTATACTTTCAGTATCCATTCTTCTGGCCAGCCAGGTGCCTGAGGATCATAGGCCGACAAGTGCTTCGTCAAAAGCAACAACCTGAGGGCTTTTGCTGATGGTCATCCCTGTCCCACGATGCCGTGAAAAGCTTGGCTTAAGGAACGCCCAAGTAGTGGGTGGGAAAAGCTTCAGGTTTTCGTGGGGCAGTCTTCAAGTAGTTTGGCTTCCAAGCTTTTCCTTCAGAGATCCCCCAAACCATCCAGGCAAACCCACGATGTCCGACCGAACACCAGTGGTGACCCTCAGTTCGACCGAAAACCAGTTCCACCGAACGAGGAGGTTCTGGTTCCTGACTACTCGTGAAGAACTGCGGATCCACCTGGGATCTAGCTTCTGGATCTGGACGTTTCTTCGCCGGTCATAGACGACCGGGCCCCATGGTGCCAGGTCTATTCGGCGCACTTAGACATCGACTTGAAGCCCTTCCAGTGGCTTCGAGGAAAAACCGGAAGAACCTCTGGTTCCCAACCAACCTTTGGGTAGAGGGAACAAACCGAGCTGCAGTTGCTGCATCATATCGAACGTGATATCGTGTGTGTGGAATGAGCGCCTGATTTGTGTTGGGTGAATTTTACTTGATGTACGCCGTTCTTGTACTTCTTTTCGACAGAAGAGCTGCACTTATATGCAATATATTAAAACTGTGTTTCATGACATCTAATGACATCTACTCCAAAGTTTGGACACTTTTGTGCGACCAAAAAGGGGACTCCGCATTTTGGCAGGGACTCCCTCTCCAACCGTTCCAGAACACAAAACATGTTTGAGATTTTTACAGATCAACGCTGCCTGGACCCGACTTCAAGTACCTTAGACGACTCGAAAATGGGACATAGTGGTACATGGTTTTAGTCAGAGGTACTGCAGACTGGTCGGAGTCCAAAACACTTGGAGACTGGTACCCAAGGTCGTAGACGGTCCAGAGTTGTAGACGGTCTACTGCTTTCCCAAAGAACGTGTTGCGTCGTGACATAGAAATCTGCAAACAACATGAGTTCAATGCATCACTGAGCCGGATCTGATCCCGGACGGGTCTGTAGGTCGTGTAGGACCGTCGTGTAGGAGCGTCGTGTCCTGCTCCGAACTCGTGATAGCAGCGGCAGCGTGGGACCAATAGGGAAGAAAACGAGGGTAGCAGCGATCAGTCACTAGTCTGTTGGATAAGAAGACCAATGATCATCAAGCTTTATATATTTGTTTTTATACCATATTTCCTAAAGTTATTTCCAAAAGAAAGACATCAGAGTCCTAGTGTCAGTTTTTATCCAATAGGATGACCATCAGCAAAAGCCCTCAGGTTGTTGCTTTTGACGAAGCACTTGTCGGCCTATGATCCTCAGGCACTTGGCTGGCCAGAAGAATGGATACTGAAAGTATAACAATTCTGAACAAGCCCTTTTCAGCATTTGGATCATTTTGGATCCTTACCTTTAGTCCGTATGTGTTTTTTTTGTTTTCCTGCGAACGAGTTGCAATATGACGAGTGATGTCCGGTCATGGCAACCCGGTGCTATTTGCTTCATTCATCCAAAAGACAGCAGCCAGATTAATTTGGCTGTTTTGATTCCCGGAGGGAGAGAGTGTGGCATTTCTGGTTTTGACGAGGGGCAACAAATCGTCGACAGTTTATGGCTTCGGATGTGGTCATCCTTGCAACTTCAGTCATTCTTTGTTGTTCCATTCCTCAAGTGGACCTGGTCCATAGAACTTGTAAACTGCCGCATGGCCATCCAAACCTGTGTGTAAACCTCGCAAGATGAGAAACCCAGAGAGCTTTGACCTGGGCAGACCGGTCTCAGATGTGCAGACCATGTACTCGACGTCAACGGCTGTGCCATGTGGACGGCAGGACAGGACAGGACCCACGGGACGGCACACCGGTGGGGTCGACCAGTTAACACACCCGAGGTCAGAATTTCAAGGACGGGTTTCGGTCTCCGGATTTCAAGTATCGAAGTTGAAAGGGAGGTCGGGAGGTCATAATAGATCACAAGGAGGAAGAGGAGCCAGCTGAAGCAGATCATGCAGAAACTCACTTCTTCCACAAAGCCGAGGAATCTGGGGCTCCAAGCATTTGTGACATGTTAAGAGCAAGGAACCTAGTATGCACCGCCAATTTTGATCAAATATACTTTCCAGCTATTCCTTTTGCGCAGACAGTTAGCTCACTGCAGGTCCGCTTCTCTTCCAGCTCCTCCTCCAAGGACCGTTCATGGATGGAGAGGTTTATGTTAGAAGTGTCTGCATGTGTTTTCCTTGACTTCTTGGCTTGTAGGAATCAGGGACAGCAAGCTAACATTATATGACTGATTACTTTGCAGTTTCAGCAAACCAGCTTGCTTTATGCACACCAGTCAAAACTACTTCTCAACTTCACAGAGCCAATAGTTAAAGTGTCAAAACCGAGCGCTATATTTTTTCTGGTATCGTTCCAGATGAAACGGCATGTCGGTGTTGATATGGATCGACGAAAGAGATGACGGGTTTAGACCAAGAGGGTTTGGCGACCAGTTCCAGCCTCTTCCAGCTGGAAGAGGCCTGAAGAGGCTGGATCTTTCCGCCTCGGTACCCCAATGAAGGGTCGTTCCCATACCTACCCCCCCGTACTAGTTTTCCATGCCCCCTCCCCCAGATATTGTAACTTGACCTTGCGTTTTGATGTGTTTTGATTCCCCCTCACTCAATAGGTAGGGATTCGTTTTGCATCAATCGTAGAAGGTCTTTGGACCCATAGATCATCTATACGTCGTAGAAAGGTCTTCACAGCCGACCGCGGCCAGTTCCCCCGCTGGCGCCCAACGTGTCGGTGATTTCCACCACGCTTTGGAGCGGGAGCGTTTGTCTCGATCGAGAGGGAGTAAAGGGTGTAAACCTGTCACAGTCGGTATAGAAAGAAAGAATCTATATCACTGTGTCCAATCACGGCCTGCAACCAGAATTGCAACCTAACCATCATCATAACCATCATTCACTGGGCCCCCAAACCATGGGAGAAAAACAACCAATCTCGATCCTTTGGCCTCCCTGACCGAAACATGTCCTGGTGGATCTATGTGGATCTGAATTAGTCGAAGCCGAAACATGCAGTGCCGAGCTATGCCGAGCTGCTGTGACCGGGTTTAAAACGGTCTATTATGTTTGCTGCCCTATGGGGGCCATGATGGTCCTTGTCTCATTTGCATGTCGATGACCTGCAGATCGATCGGCACACCTGCAGACCTGCGGAAGAACGACCTTTCAGGTCCTGAAAGGTGCCCACGACCACCCCCCACTCGCAAGGACGACTCGCGATCACGGCTACCGCAGATGGCGATGACCCTGAAGCGAGCTCGGAGCCCACAGGATGAGGATTGGACGCCGCGCGGCTTCCGCGCGGCGCGAAGGCTTTTGGGGCGGACGTCGCGCGGTTTCATCCCGAAGTTGGTCGGAAGAGTTCGGTGGATGGGCGGGTGAGCAGCAGGCTTGGTTTCTATACCCGAAAGGTAATTTGGGGGTGAATCGCACATGGAATGCTTTCTGTATAGTGTGGAACTGGAATTTTGGGATCATCTTCAGGTAAAGGCGGTCACTGGAGACCGCCAGGAGCCCCTAGTAGTAAGACCAGGAGCCTCCAGTAGCTTCTTGTTACTAGTAGTAAGAATGCTCCTAGTAGCGATGCCAGGAACCCTAGTAGCCTCCTTGCTCCTAGTAGTAGGGCCAGGAGCCCCTACTGTAGTAGCTTCTTGTTGCTAGTGGTAAGAATGCTTCCAGTAGCGACGCCAGGAGCCCCTAGTAGAGTCCTTGCTCCTGGTAGTTAGGCCAGGAGCCCCTGGTAGCTTCTTGTTCCTAGTAGTAAGAATGTGTCGTTACTTGATCTTCAGCATGAGGACACACCTCATTGCTGGATAATTCACGCTCTACGGCTGGCCCATGTCGGTGAACGACTCAATGCAGCATGGCATGGTGTTAGAGTGTCTCGGACTATGTTCGCTCTGGCTGAGATCAAGGGCGACTGGCCCTTTCTGCGCAAGATCTTGAGGTTTGTGCCAAGCTTCACTGGGAATCGCGTGTGCCACCATTGCAAGGCAACAGTGTTTCAGCACGATCATCCCTTTGAGGACTTCGACTCCATGGGGCGCACCAACGCTTTCGAATTCATTCTCCTTATTGGGGTTTTGTGGCTCTTGTCCTCTTTAAAAGCATTCTGAACCTTCCAAGGATCCAACAAGCTGCTGGAGGAATGGATGCATTGCACCCCTAGTCATTCGCAGGTGACACCGAATCAAGACACCGAATCTTGCCCAAAACGAAATCGTCGGAGAATCAAACTCATCAAACATCACAAAGTGTCTCTGAACAATGTAGTTGAACATGTTGCGCACCTTCAACACACTCTCCCCCGCAGTCTTTGCCAAAGAGTGACTTGCTGCGCATCGCAGCGCTCAGCGCTGCCTACGGCTT